TTCATTGAACAATGCTTTCCGTGTGCTGCCACCAAAATCAAAGCCTAACGAAACCCCACAAACCCCAACAATGGAAAGAAAGCAGTTGAAAATCGCGCCCCATCTTTCCCTTTTCAGAATTGCAATCCTCTTCTCTTAGCTGCCGCGCATTCTATCAGCCTTTGTTTACTCCAATCCGCCGCTTCTTCCTGCTGTTCATCTCTTGTTTTTCTTTGATCCCTCTCTTTTTGGAGGGAAGAAGAAATAGGAGAAATGGAAAGCGTAGCAGTGTGGCAATCGGTGGCTTTATGCGGTTTCTTCTCATGGATTGCGTTTGCTTCCTACATTAACATAACCCACAAGGTTAGATCCTTACTCCAACCATGGGCGGCTCACCATGTCGTCGCCGGCGCTCCTCTCATCCTTCGAATCCAGGTTTGGGATTATTGAATACCGATTCTGTTGAGTTTTATGTTTGGATTCAATGTTTAAGGGTTTGTGGTCTGCAGAAATGTCAGAATTCGTTCATGGATGCCTTGTTTTCTGGGTTGTCTTGCATTGTATCTGTGCCTTTCTACACTGCTTTTCTTCCTCTGCTGTTCTGGGTAGGCTTTGCATCTGTCTCTCTGTAATTGTTGATCCCTTACTTATTTTTTTGATGGGCTAACTTTTTGTATGAAAATGTAGAGTGGCCATGGAAAATTGGCTCGTCAAATGACCCTTTTGATGGCTTTCTGTGATTACTTAGGGAATTGCCTTAAGGTAACTAGTCTTTCCCATCATTTAATTTTTCATGAATTCAAACTTGCCTGTTCGTATCGCAACTAATAGAAAAAACCACTACCTCACTCATCGTCTAGTCTAGTCTAGTCTAGTAGTGGTTCGGTCTATGCTGTTGGGGCACTCCGCTTCAGTATGACCTCCTTGATTTACTATATTTGGGTCTTCCAACATGTGGGGTTTTTTTTTTTTTTCTTCTAGGATGTGGTATCAGCTCCTAGACCCAGTTGCCCACCTGTTAGGAGAATAATTGCCACCAAAGATGAGGAAGAAAATGCCATGGAATATGGGTTGCCATCTTCTCACACGCTAAATACAGTTTGTTTATCTGGGTACGTGGTTTCTATCCTTCTATATGGTTCATTGGCTTGCTATTTCCATTATGTTATCATATTGATGCTTATGGTGACTCTTGCTGCCTTCTGATCTTTACATAAATTTGTGTTCTGAGCTTGTAAAGTTGATTGACATAAAGGATGTATATATAGGCTTTGTTGAGAGCATCAACTGGGTCAGCAACTATAGATTTAGCTCGTCCTGTAAGGGAGGCGTCGGAAGATAACTAGCAGAGTTATGCCTTCTCTTACTTGTTGTGGATGATTTGGACGCAAGGGGTCTCTTTCTCTTCCATTGAGTACAGTTTTGTTAGTGATGCTCACAGAACTTCTTTACCTGTGAGAGTAGTGATATACATACGTGGAAGGATTAGAAGAATTGCACCAGAGAACATAAGAAACTGGAGGATAAAACAAGGGGTGCTTGAGATCCTTTGAAGCCTTTTTTCTGCAGGACACACTATTGAGGTTGGAGACTTTTAGATGATCATCTCATCTCGACATGGTCATCAGTGTCAACAAGTATATATGAGATCCCATATCGATTGGAGAGGGGAACGAAACATTCCTTATAAGGGTGTGGAAACCTTTCCCTAGTAGACACGTTTTAAAACCATGAGGCTAACGGCGATACGTAACGGGCCAAAACGGATAATATCTGCTAGTGGTGGGCTTGGGCTGTTACAATACAAGACCAACCTTGTTATGAGCTTCAACTTTTCAAATATGCTTAAATGTTGGAGTAAACAATGCAAGACCAACCTTGCATTATTTCTGAACTTGTAAGTTGCAATTGAAGGTGAAATGAGCCCAGGTACGAGATGTGAGATCCCACATCAGTTGGGGAGGAGAACAAAACATTCTTTATAAGGGTGTGTGGGAACCTCTCCCTAGCAGATGCGTTTGAGGGGAAACCCGAACAGGAAAGCCCAAAGAAGACAATGGGCTTGAGATGTTATAAATGGTATCAAAACCAGACATCAGGCGATGTGCCAGCGTGGAGGTTGAGTCCCGAAAGGGGGTGGACACGAGGTGGTGTGCTAGCAAGGATGCTGGCTTCGAAGGGGGGTGGATTGTGGGGTCTCACATCGATTGGAGAAGGGAATGAGTGCCAACGAGGACGCTGGGTTTCGAAGGGGGTGGATTGTGAGATCCCACATCGGTTGGGGAGGAGAACAAAGCATTCTTTATAAGGGTGTGGAAACCTCTCCCTAGCAAACGCATTTTAAAAACCTTGAGGAGAAGCCCGAAAGGGAAAGCCCAAAGAGAACAATATCTACTAGCGGTGGGCTTCCGCTGTTATACGAGACCCTTCTTATCATGATATTGAATTGATTGAAACGGAACCGTATAGTTTAGGAGAGAGGTTACGATGGAGTGAGAAATTCCAGCAGCTCATTTTTCTTAATTCATTACATCTCATTTCATTTTCTTTGCCGTTTTGGCTTTTATTCAGTTTAGGCCTAGTAAAGCGTCTAGTAAACCGGCCATATTTGGCTCGTATAGAGGCTTTTCCTGCACTGTGTAAAGGGAACGAATATGATTACAATTTTCAACTATGGCTTCTCTGTCATTGTGATTTACTTAAAAGTGGAATATGGAAGAGCTTATAGTTCCAATTGGCTGCCTATATTGACTTGACACTAACTATTTTTCATTGGTATGACCGTGCAGATATCTCGTGTATTATATCCGATCTTACGCTGAAAATATAAGCGCCCCCTACGAATTCGCAGGATTTTCTCTTGTTTGTTTGCTTGTAGTCCTCATTGGCTTGGGTAAGCCTTATTTTCAAGCAAAAATTTTCAGTTTTATACATTTTTTGGGGGTCTCTTCCAATCTGAAAATGTTCGTTCTTTGGCAGGAAGAATATACCTAGGCATGCATAGCCCAATTGACATCATTTTCGGTCTTGTCTTCGGCTTGATGATTCTCTTATTTTGGTTGAATGTTCATGAATACGTGGACGACTTCATTACCACGGGCCAAAATGGTATCGTCTTCGCCTTTTCACACTTTTATCGCTATCTTTTCCCCTGGTTAAGTTCACGTTCTGTTCAGTATTTTGAGGAGCTTCTTCTTCTGTGAAGTAGTAGCGTTATTTTAGATGAATAAGATGCATATTCAATGAAAAGAAGGAATACAAAATGAGGGAAATATTTTCATTGATGATTGAAATTTACAAAAGAGATGTATAATCCATGGTGTTTGGAAAAGACCTTCCCAATTTGCAACGAGGGAGGTATAACTATAGGAAGTAAAAGTATTAGACAGTTCACTCCAAGATATATAGCTTGTTAAACAACATTGTCGAAAAGTTGTGTAGGTCTATGTCTTTTCTGCAAATATTCTCTGATTTCTTTCTTTCCACATATTCCAACAGAAAGTCATAATGAGGTTTTTCCATAATATGGTTTTTTGCATTCTTGAAAGGATGGTACGTTAAGGTCATATCCAAAAATTCCTTTACCTCCCTAGGAAACGTAAGATGTCATCCGAATATATTGAGAATCGTTGTCCAGAAATTCTGAGCGTTTGTGCACTGCATAAACAAGCTTACAGTGGTAGAAAGAGAGAAGAAATTGACAAAATATTTTGATTGGCACACCGTCAGTTGTCTGGCTTTGATACCATTTGTAACAGCCCAAGTCCACCGCTAGCAGATATTGTCCACTTTTGCCCGTTACGTATCGCCGTCAGTCTCACGATTTTAAAACGCGTCTATTAGGGAGAGGTTTCCACATCCTATAAGGAATGTTTCGTTCCCCTCCCCAACCGATGGGGGATTTGACGATTACATGCTTAAATATGGATGAGATTTACGCTTTAATGACTGTGAAGATACTTTAGAGTAAATAAACATCATGGTGATGGTGATTTTGTCTGGTACTAATTATTAGTAATGTATTTGTTGTATGCAATTTGTGGGTGCAGTTATTTATTTCTGGGGTGCTCTAAGCATTTTGTTGCTCTTTGCTTATCCTACTCCTGAGTTTCCTACTCCAAGCTATGAATTCCACACGGCTTTTGATGGTGTTGCTTTTGGAATTGTAAGCAAAACATGCCTTTCAACGTGCAGTAATTTTGATATAACTGATGGATGTTATCTGTTTGTTTGGTGTCATTTTAAAGGATTATACTGTCAAAAGCTCCTTGTTCTATGCTTTCTTTTGTTACTAAATATATATAAGAGAGATTCTGTCCTGCAGGTAGCAGGGGTACAGCAAACATACCATCAGTTTCACCATGAAGCTGTTGCGCGCATCTTTACTCCACGACTCCCATTTCCCACGTTTCTTGGTCGGATGCTCGTCGGTTTACCGACCATATTAATCGTGAAGTTTTGCTGCAAAGCTCTAGCTAAATGGATCCTTCCCATTATTGCACACACCTTGGGCATGCCTGTAAGATCAACTAGCTATATCCCAATGCTAAATTCATCATCAACAGGTAAGGCGAATGGGAGCAAACAACGTCGGCCTCTACACAAGCTGTTCTTCTTGAGCCAGGACTTGTTCGACATCGACACAGGCATTAGGTTTGTTCAGTATGCAGGCTTAGCTTGGTCTGTTGTTGATCTTGTTCCCTCTCTTTTCGCTTATCTGAACTTGTGATACGTTAACTCCAATATATAATTGGTTCGGTTCTGTATATTTTTCATTTTGCAGTCCCTATCATTTGATTAAGATTTCTTCCTCGTAGTTTGATAAACCTCTTAAATAGTCTCTATGGTCGATGATCGAATAAAACCCTCGAGACTATTTACGAGTTTTAGCAGACTAAATTCTTTCTTTCTTCAAACCATAGGAACCAAATCTTCGGCTTCAGAAATCGTAGAGCATACTAACAAATAGCTGACCATAAATAAGTGAAGCCTGTTTAGCTTCCTTCAAAATTCTCTGGCACATTCATCAAAAAGATACTTCATACTAAAATTTCTTGAAATAAAGAAGTAACAAATCAACAATTCCAATAGTTTCAACAGCCTTCTCCAAGCATAACAAGGACTAATATACGAACTAGCTTACATCTAGTGGACGAAAAACACCAGCACTATAATTTACTACAATAGGGAAGTGTTGTAACAAAATTAAACTACTTGAGAGATTATGGAGAAAGGGGCCGAAGGGGCAAAAGAAAGTTGAATATCTTTGTATCTCGAGGATGTCTTGATCTTCAAATACAAATCGGAGGGGTTTCTATAGAAAAAGTTCTGGCTCGCAGGCAAAGCCATCAATCCACAGCAGCATAAGTCACAGGTTCTCTCGGCCTCAACGACCATGCTCAACCCATTACGGTATACAGGGAAGGATTCAACTTAGCTGATTCATAAGAAGTAATCTGGCGTTCTACGGGTGACATCAGGTTCTCCTCTTCTGGGTGCTGGCTCAAACTGAGAGAAACGACATATAAAGAACAGAGACAATCATTCAGCTATGGATATACTTGTATTATTGCTGGAAGAAGACAAGGATATGGTTTGTTTGTGCATTTATCATCTTTAATGCAAGTTCCTGTGCAAGTGAGAAAGAGACCTGGATAAATGTATGACTCCTGCAGTCATCAACCTCTAAAATTGAAGCCATGTTCCCACAGCGATAACAATAGTTCGGCGCACTAAAAATCGTAACCACCTTTTGTTCCTGTTCAAACATAAGGGTCATCATACCAGAAACCTTTAAATCCATAAAACAAGAATGGAATCAAAGATTTATAGGGTGAGAAATCATTGAACATATGTATTACATGAGCCCAGTTAAATCCATCCATGACCAGCTGATGAGCTCTAGCTATTAACTTGAGATTATTCATGTGATTGAATTGTTCAGATATGTCCTGCAAAGTAGAATATGAAATGTCAGATGGGAAACCCCTTAATTTTCCTTCTATTGGCATAAGGATCAAAGGCAAATGTGAATAACATACACCTTGATGCATGGTTAGAAATTACCTGGCCAAATGTATACCCAGCGCCTCGAGGTGAAATCCCCCAGCCACATCGATCATCTGGATCAGACCATAACAAGTCACACATTGGGCCTTCATGCGGAACCTCTTGAACACGGTCAAAGTTTCGAATGTTATCAAGGGTTTCAATGGATGGGGACAACCCACCATGTAGACAAAATATTTCAGACTCAACCTGAAAAGGGAAAGTAAGAGCCAACGAATGAAACAATTGCATCAATAAGAGGCTGCTTGATTATAATTTTATTCAGTTTTCTGCTATTGATAGTAATGTAAAAGTACTGACAATTAGTTTGTTTTATGATCCATTGATAGTAATGTAAAACTATTTCCTTTTGGGATTTGCCCATGCACTATTACTATCTTACTCATTAACCAAAATAGAGAAACTAAAAGAAATAGTTCTCAAATTTTGGCTTTGGTTTTGAAATTTAGCTTCAGCAGAAGTATTTTTAAAAAGGAAATATAACATCAATTTATTTTCCAAAAACGAAGAGACTACATGGGCAATCCCAAAAGGATCAACCCACCAAAAATGAACCAAAAAATGCTCAGGATGTTGAGGATGAGAAACAGAAACCAAAAAGGAGGTTAAACCTAACCGCAGTCCACACCTCCCCAAAGATTCTCCTATTTCTCAAAGCCAAATGTTCCACAACAAGGCAAGGAACACCACCACCTCCAACATCAAGCGACAACATTTATCACCAGCCAAAAGCACATCGAAGATCTCCCCAAAAAAAAGTACCATAAATCAAAGATGCAAAATTCTCCACAGTACATGATCCAACAGGCTCATTATAAAATTAATTATTTCATATCCTGTACTTCAATCACATGAAATATACATACAATGTAAGGAGAGGCAATCAAGAAACATGTCACGACATGTTGGTTCAAGAAGGTAAGTTGTGTAATAAAAGCAATAAGTTACAGTGATGCCAAAAAAAAAATCACTAACCAAGGCAGTCAAAGGAAAATAGTCAAAAAGATCTGTAAACGTCTTCCATACATTAGCATTGCCATACCTGCAGTTACAAAAGAAAAAGGATCTCACTGCCGTAGATTTTTGCAAGAGAATCAAGAACAAATGACCTTCACAAATGCAATTCTAAATAACACCAGAGGTAATCACAGATTGAAATTAAATTTTACTGGCAAACTGTGACAATAAAGACTTTACTACAGATAGATCATAAAAGGAAGTAATTTTTTCAAGAAGAAATTGGATATCCTTCAAAGATTCTGTCTCATGTCTCCCCTCTCCTTCATGATAATGCAATAGACCAGCATCAATTATCTGAGATTGTAACACCGGCCAACTAGGGCAATGCCATAACAAATCAAAGTTGAACACTAATATGGGAGTTGCACTTTCATGTGTCAAGTCATGGCCATTTAAAAACATGTCAAGTTTTGTAATTACTTGCTTGGACTTAATTCTTTTGGACTGGAGCCCTTTTTTGTATAGCTATGGCCATTTAAAAACATGTCCAGTTTTGTATACTTGCTTGGACTTATTCTTCTGGACTGGAACCCTTTTTTGTATAGCTATTCATTGTGGCTACTTTTTCAGGCATCTCTTTTGTATGCCCCTCTTGTTTCTTTCATGTTTCACCATGAAAACATGGTTTCTTATAATAAAAAAAATATATGTTTAAAAACAAAACCATGGATCAGAAGTTAGCGGGATTCTTGTTTTTTTTTTTTTTTTTTTTTTTTTTTCA